AACGTAAGTTAATTATGAAAAAAAAACCCAGCACAGGGGGGTCGCAGCACAGTGGTGTCGTGGTATAGTTGGAACAAGTATAATGATATCTGACAATTATTAAAATCACTATCAAAAAAAACGCTTCGATGCAAATCTTTAGATAGTGTTAAATTTTAAAAAAATTGGTGTTTTATTCCAAAAGCTACATGATCTGCTGGTTCCTTATTAATATCTCGATTAAGATAAAGTATGTCGAACGAAAAAGGGTTTATTAAAAAATATTATTTCTCAGGAAAAAATTGTGTGGATCCATCAAAAGTTAAGTTGAAAAAGTTAATTTTTTGTGAAAAAGTTGTCATTTTAAATCCTCTCCTTTGGGCAGATAAAGGGTCAGATTTACAAAAAAAATATACGAAATGATAAGTAAAAACATCAAACATCTATATAAAAAAAATTATATTGATATGTTCATTTTTGAAAAAGTTACGGCACATTTTAGTAAAAAAAATTGAAAAAATTTCGAAAATTAGCGATTTTTAAATTTGTAATTTTTTTGGAGGTTTCCCCCATTTACGGGGAACGGGGGAATTTTTTTCAATTTTTAAGGGTAATGTCTTCGACTAGATACGATTTGTGATTTTTTGACGTATCGTTGAAAGAAATCCGTTCGGTGAGAGCTGAGATAAAGTGGTAACAGACACAAAAAAAAAAAAACACATCATAGTAAAACCAATACCTTCTCAGCTTCGCATCGAAGCTAAAAAAAGAATAAAACAATTTTTTGTGAGAAAGAAACTGTTTTTTACATCTCTAGTTATTATTATATAATATTTGATTACTTATTACTTATTTTATATGTTTGGTTACATCATAATACAGCTGACTAATCATATGCTATTATGAATTTGTCCGTCAAATATTATCTTGATAATAACATAAATAATATTTTAGCACAGTAATGTCTGAGTCATATAAATTTACTTGGTAACATAGCTTATAACTGATTTTAAGAACTTATTATTGGTAAGGTTTGGCTAGGTTCTCAGTTCTTTTTCTTTTTTTATCAGAAATGGTTTTGAATTGTGTTCTTTTTTAAAAGGTTCCAATCCTTAATCAGAACAGATAACTAAATTAAACTAGTAAAAATGTTTATATTGAAACTAGGTAGAAAAGTTAGTATGAATTAACAATTCAATTAACTAAAGATTTTGATAGTCTTAAAGAAGTTTTAAGTATTATTTGTGATAATAATAATACTTCATTCAATTGTAGAAATGAAGTATTTAGATAAATTCTATTTAGTTATGAAATCTTTGGCTGTAGGTTTTGATTGCTTGCAAGAAAATAATAAAACATAGTATGATGTGCTGTTCCAACTTAAGTATCATTGATTAATTATTGTATTGTTCTAGTTTAGTTATTGAGGTTAACAAATTTATAGAGACGATTTATTAAAATATTTGACTCTACACCAAAAGTAAATGAAGCAATTCTTGCTACTTGTACTTGTTTTCATCCTCTATTTAAGAAGGATTCCAAAATCATTAACTAACAAGAAACAAATTCAGCAATTATGTATAAATTCTAAACAAATGTATAAATTTAACTAATGTAACTGAAAAGAGTTTATCAATTTCTGATGAAAAAAAAGATCATTGTGTTTTTCAACTGTTAGTCGTCAACTACTTTTCAACAGTCAAATTTAAATATAACGTTATGTAAATTAGTTTTAAAATATCTAAATAGTAAAAATAAACATTTTCCATGTCTCACTAAATGTAGCTTAGTAAAAAATCATTTTAAAAGTATAACACAATCTTATATTCTGCTACTATTGAACGGCTTTTTTGATCTTTGTATTTTCTTAGGGGAGTGATGTGAAACAGTAGATCAGTCACTGCCTTAGCTCTGATGATTAGATGTGCTGTTTGATATTAGTTCCTCGATAGGTGACCATATGGGAACTTTAACAGTAACAAACACCTTGCTCCTTAATTGGTTCGTTCAACCATAATGAGATTGTGTCAGGTTGACATACAGTATAAAAATTCTGTTAAATCAATAAAGTAGAGCCAAACTTGAATAGTTGAGATAAAGTTGACTAAGGAGATGATAATGACCTTTGTATTTTAAATACATGAGCTAAAAGTTATTTGTATTTAGTATTTCAAATGCACAGTTATGAGTATTTTTCCCATCCTTGAGTACCAGAGAAGAAAATAAGGCCAATTTTTTTAGATTGAAATTACAGATTTATTTCAAATTAGAGGAAGTAATTAAATATTTTAAATGGAAAAAGTAATGATAATTATTTGGGTAATATGGTTTAGTTTTAAAATCGAATTAGTACAATCAAAGAGCGCAATAAATTTGTTGAAAAATGATGTCGAAATGTTTTCCTTGAAAAGTTATTAAAATAATATTTAAATAGGTTCGATAAAATATTTGAATTGTTCAGTTTGGTTCGATTAAAAATTATATTAAAAAACAAAAACCAAGTAGGATTATGTGCAGTGTTATATCCAAGTGTACTGCAGGGTAACAATAATATATTATGTTAAAACCCATTTTTTTAGCTTCGATATAAAGCTGAGATGGTTTCATTTTGCTATGATATATTTATTATTTTATTTTTTTGTCATTATATAATTTCGGTTTTCATTGAATTCGATTTTTATCAACAATACGTTAAAAGATCAAAAATTAAACCTAGTTGAATTTTGCTAAGAATTGAAAACGTAATTACATTAGGTATTTATTTTTTTCAATATAACCCTTTACCTGCCCAGTGGGCGAAAATAAAATATAGCAACTTTTGAAAATTTTCCAGAAATACTCCGAGCTTTTCAAACATATGTTAAATTAAAACTTATGTTACAGACTATAAATTAAAAAAAAAAAAAAAATTGTTCACATTATTTTCTATGAGTAAAAGCTATCTAAATTGAACATAAAATGTATTTTTGTGTACTACCCTTTCATTTGGTATACTTTTTTTCAAAATCAGACTATTTGCCCACAGAAGGTGGTTAAAATAGCAACTTTATCACAAAAAAAAAAAAATTTGAAAATGTTCCGGAAATACTCCATGCTTCAAACATATGTCAATTTATAGCTTATGTTACATACAATAAATTGGATAAGAATTTTGTACCAACGACTTATCTTCTATTTGTAAACGATTTCCGAAATCTAAAAAAATGTTATTTTTCTGTAAAAAAATGTTTAATTTGAATTCTTTTTTTTACTTATTTGTGTTTACCTTTTAGATCAAGTGGTATAGTTATATAAGCGGTTTGGGTTGAGAAAAGAAACTCGATAACAAAAAAATTATTGTTAGTTATAAATATTTTGTAGCTTCTAATGACAATTCAATATGTATATAAAAAAAAAGTGGATGCCCTTTCAAAAAAAATGTGTTTTAGTTACTAATAGCTTATGATAAATTGAGGTATTAAAGTACACAGTGATTCTAATATCTACTCTTATCCTTCCAATTTCTCTTAAAATAATCATAATATAAAAAAAATTGTTTTTGGTAGTTTTTAGTTTCATATATTTCTTGAGTCATCAATTATAATTATTTTAGCTTCGATGCGAAGCTGAGAAAGTATTGGTTTTACTAAGATGTGTTTTTTTTTTTTTTTTTTGTCTGTTACCACTTTTTCTCAGCTCTCACCGAACGGATTTCTTTCAACGATACGTCAAAAGATCACAAATCGTATCTAGTCGAAGACATTACCCTTCAAAATTGAAAAAATTTCCCTCGTTCCCCGTAAATGGGGGAAACCTCAAAAAAAATTACAAGTTTAAAAATCGCTAAATTTCGAAATTTTTTCAATTTTTTTTACTAAAAACTGCTGTAACTTTTTCAAAAATGAACATATCAATATAATTTTTTTTTATATAGATGCTTGATGTTTTTACTTATCATTTGGTATATTTTTTTTTGTAAATCTGACCCTTTATCTGCCCAAAGAAGGGGATTCAAAATGACAACTTTTTCAGAAAAAATTTTCTTTTTCAACTTAAATTTTGAAAGTGTTCCGGAAAGTCTGACACTTTTATATATATCATAAATTAAAGCTAATGTAATGCACTTTATTATGGAAAAAAAAATTATGTACTTTATTTTGTCTTCAGGGTGAAAATGGCTACCGAATGCTATTTTTGTGTGAAAATTTTCGATTTTATTTTTTTAATTTTAACTTTATAATGCTATAATTTATTGAAAAGTGTATGGATCAACACAATTTTTTTATGAGAAATAATATTTTGTAATAATCCCTTTTTCATTCGACATACTTTATCTTAATCAAGAGATTAATAAGGAACTAGAAGATAATGTCGCTTTTAGAATAATACACCAATTTTTTTTTAAATTAAACACAGTCTAAAGATTTGCATCGAAGCGTTTATTTTTGATAGTGATTTTAATCACTGTCAGATATCATTATACTTGATCCAACTATACCATGGCATCACTGTGCCGCGACCCCCCTGTGCTGGGTTTTTTTAATTTATCTTTTAAGTCTTAAAAGGGTGTCATCTTTATTTTTTTAATGGCAACATATATATTTAGCTAGCTTATAATAAAAAATGATTTAGTCAAGAAAATGATTGGTCGATGATAACTTTAGGCCTATTATTTGCCATTTAAAATAATAAAGTTAATACCCTGCTAAGGAATTCTTCTTCTGATTTAATAATTTATAAAAATATTACAAATTATTGTTGTAGGAACTTCTTAATTATTTGCAACTATTTTTTCATAATTTGATATAGGAATGGCTTTTATGTATCTAATTTAAAGTTCCATAAAATTTATGCATGACAAAAAAAAATTTCAATTTTCAATAGTATTATATGTAAGTTATCTTATATGAATTAGACATTGAGAAACCTTTAAAAAAAAATTAGCTGTACAGGTGTTTAGTTATACAGATGAAATTAATTTTAGCCAATAGTAATTGAATTAACTAACAAAATAAGATGTTTAATAAAACTGTACTAAAAAGTAATTTTTTGATTTTTTTTAATTAGTCAACATTTTAAGACTCTGTATAAAGATAATTAAATTCTTAAAAATAATATAACAAGATTTGATTTTTGTTATTTTTAAATGTATTAGTGATATTTAAACAAAAAAAAAAAACAATTAAGGATAAAAAATATACACACAGAGTTCAGCCTTAAAACTTGAATACACAGATGAGTAATTTATAAGAATAAATAATATTACAAAATGGAATACAATATAAAATCACTATGAACATATATTTATAAAAGAAATTCAATAATTTTGCATATTTTCTTTACCGTGCATGTAATATTCAGCACATGATATATATATACCAATTACAGCTCCTAAAATACTAGCAATAGTGGTATCCATTTTGAATATTATGCAAGTAGCAATTCCAAGACCGACATAGGTTAGATAACGTCTTACTGCATCACTAGAGTTCCAGCTTCCTCCCCTCGCTATAATAGTTAATTAATTAATAAAAATTTATGATAAAATTGAAGTAAAAAAGGCAAAAATAGTATATTTTGAATATTTTTACTCACTCTAATTTTTTATCTTCATTTTCTAAGTAATTTACTTTTTCTTTATCTACTAGAGCTGCAATCATGCAATATAAATATAAAAGTAAATAATACAATCACATTCTACTTATAAGTGTGTATTAAGAAACTAACATGTTTACAGCTGAGTTATGAGTAAAATGAAGTAAAAGCAATAAAATTACAATTAATAAGACTTATGCAAAAAATAGCTTCATTTTTTAAAACTTTCTATGAAAGTAAAATATTTATGTAGACCTTATCATCCATCTCAAATTTTTAGTACTTAGTGAGATTATAAATTGAATGTATCCATTAGCATACATACTAACTATTATTTAGTCTTACTGAAAATCTAATTAAAAAAATATATTATAGGTGTGTAGAATACTATAAATAAAAATAGTTATAGTCATAAGTTATGAACCCTACTCATAACAGTTAATAGGTAAAAAAACAAACATACATATACTCTATTACTTTAAAAATTTAAACAACTAAAAATAAGCTTAAAGAGTAGAAGAATTTATTGCACGATATATTGCTACTAGATTTATTATAAATGTTACTGTTCATGCTTATTAATCAAGCAATAGCATTACAACTCATAAATTAAACTAAAATTTACCTATGCATTTTTTCTCGTTACTATCATATCTATAACCTTCTGCACAACCATGACACATATCAGCACCATCTCCAGAACAACCTCTACAAGCTGGATCACACTCTAAAAAAACAATGTAAATTAAATATTTAATTTAATTCAGAAATTTTAGTAATATTAGTTTATTTTATAAATTTGGTCTAAACATAAATATAATATAATATATGTGACTAATTTTAAATTTTATTATAACAGATATTTTGCATTACTTTTAGCTTCGATACGAAGTTGAGAAGGTATTGGTTTTACTAAGATGTGTTTTTTTTTTTTTTTTTTTTTTTTTTTTCACTT